ATGGAACTTGTTAAGTTCAACAGCATGAACCATGTAAAATGCAGTGTATTGCTTGGAAGCCCTTCTTATCAACTATGTTTTGAACTTGTTCAATTTTTCGTATCAAATATTGGTTTTATTTGATGTACGGTCTCTGTCATAGTTTTGAAATTCACTTCAATAAGCTGAGTTGGTGGATTTGTATTTTGTATAAAAATGGATTGCCACTTTGTGCAACGAAGATGTATTACATTGCCCGTAAAAGGTATGCAGAAACTTATCACAAATTACATTGAAGTGACCAGGTTTCTTTATATCTCTTCTCCTTTATGTCTAAATAACAGCATTCTTAGGAATAAATTTGAAGTTCTTTTTAACTAGCTACTTATAAGTAAGTAAAATTGCAAGTTAAACATTATCTTAAACAGAGTCGATGTTTGTAGAAAAACGCGATAAGCAGTTTTATCTGTTAGCATTTTCTCTAACCTAGCTTAAGGAATAACCAGCTGGTATTCTAATATTAGCTTGAGAATTCTGAGGTTTGCTGAATACTCAGAGGTGAATATAACAGTCTTAATGAGGTTGTACAAAAAGCTCTGTCTTGGTAGATGAGGCTTCCGTAGCCAATCATTAGGTTTGTAACCAGCAATGTAAGTGGTACCATGGTGTGAATCGTCAATGATTTGAGCCTGTTCACATGAAGGATAACAGATCAGTCGTTTCGAAAAGTCGAATAACCAGAAACGTTCGTTTAATTCTACTTGTATTTCATTAGGACTTCATTCAGTCTCATCTAGGGTAAGTATCAGTTTCTGAGGTCCCTAATTAATGGGGGTTTTACTTAAGTGTACTTTCAACGTGCACTTTGGATTTGAAAACGAAATCCACAGGCAAAGAGGTAGTGTTGGAATGTGATCACCTCTAGGACCCTTCCTAGTAGATGGCTTTGTAGCAAACCTAGAAAACTCAACCTTGTAATTAATGATCAATGAACTTTTCATCCACAAAAGATACGCATGTGATACCTTTATTATCTTTGATGGGAATACTAAACTTGATAAGTTTGTTTGTTAATCTATCGGATCCACTCTGGAAAAACAGTCAAACTCATAATTATACTCCCTCGAAATCCAACTCCAAAGAAGAGATGACAATTCAGTCCAGAAACTTATTTACAGGAAAGCAGCTATTAACAGACAGCTTTTTAATGTTAAAAGGTGTTTTCCTTAAGACAGGGAAAAGAATCTTATAAATTCATTCCACTCGATAACACGAAAAATGTGCACATAGGATACCATCGATGGCAAAATAAAGAATTTACCAGAAATCCCGACAGAAATAGATATTCACTGAAATTAATAGATGGGTGTTTACAGCCGTAAAGCACTATGGAACCCATTCACATTGTAGCGAAAAAGATTTTACTACTGAGCCTAGAATTCGTTGATAATAATGCAAGGATATCCTTAGAAAGGGCCTATCAAGATCCATAAACCAAAGCCTTTTATCGCCAATCCCAGAATCAAAACTTTCTGTCAGAAACTCATTCATCAATACTTGAAGAACAAGCTAAAGAATTGGGCCTTATCAGTATGTGCATGTTTAAGTTTACTTTCCACTTGGAGTGGAGTTTATAGATAGTGACCTGAATCAGAACTCTTCCGATGTACAATCAATCAAACGCGTAGATTCATGACAAGAAAAGATTTTGTGTTGTTTTCAAAAATTTTCCCTTTAATTTGACTGAACACTCACAGTGTTCCGCTAGATGTCGTCAGTTATTCAGATCCGATAAGGAATTCAACTTTCAATTTTATTTGCTTGGTTTATGTCATAAGCTCATACAGACTTAGTAGAACTTAATTTGTAGAACATAATCAGTGCAGTGGATTTATTCATTTATATTCCCAGTGACTAGACAGTTTAATATTAAACACTCAAAAACCATAAATGCTAACAATTTGAATTCGAGGAATTTGGTATTCATAAGGAAATGAAGTATTATAATTAAGTCCTGACAGCTGCTAGAGACTGTACCGATACAGTGAGGTAGACTTCCGATTATATAACGCTGGCAGAAAATGACTCCGTTTTTCAAAACATGGTGGTTTCTGGACACCGAGCCAATATTAATAGTGAGTTTAAAGTTATTTATCTCAATCCTTTTAACCTCACTCAAGTTTTAGGAGGCAGTCCTTTACATAAATAAGGAGCCATCAAGATCTATCCGAACAAGTCAAGCTTATTTGTTCAGAATAAATTCACATTTTCTTTGTGTTAATGCTATGAGAGATAATTCGAAATTTTCACGTGTGTCTAGAGAGGAAGCGAAGAAATCAAATGGACTCGTTGCATTTGATTACCGTGGCTGTTCTCATTCAAGTATGTTGATGACCGTGAAACTGTTGGATAACCTCGAATTTCACTGGCAACTCCAGCATTTGCTGCGAAGGGCCGAGTTCGTACAGTAGACGTCTACTTTGTTCCAAAACTTAATTTTTTTTCTGTCTAGTTGATAAACTGTGTCCTGCCAATATCTAGGGTATAAGGTGAATTACCAAACCAACCGTAAAAGAGGTAGTATAAGATCAGATCTTTTTTTAAATTTGAAGGGAGAACTGTGTTCTAGATAATGACATATGTTTACAATCTAAGGCTTCCATCCCATAGAACAGTAAATCACCAGATATCCATTCAGAATAAAAATCCTCAGTACTTCTGCTGGTTATATTGACTCTAAAGTTTTACTAAGCCCGCTTTCCATAGTACGTAATGCCAAGATCTCTACTGATCATAGAGTGAAGGATGTCACCATAAGAATAACTGCTTTGAGGTAACACGAACTTGAGAGGTTCCAACACTCAAATTCGAGCAGTTCAATCACTGGATGAAGTTCCCTCAGCTATAATGCGAGTGTTGCTTTTCTATTCATTTCATTCCTGGTCTTTAGATTTTCAAACCACGTTAGCGTTGATAAATGCTCTCCGGAATAATTCTCATTAAACTTAGAAATAACTGACAAACACAACGATATACCAAGATTTAGTTAACGGACAACACCAGTTACTTTGGGTGTCAGATAGCGTGTATCAGAGATGAAAATCTCACATAATATGATAAGCATATATTTATCAAAGTATGAATTTCTAATTTTCAGCCTTATACAAAGCGATAAATTAATGTAGAATCAGATAATCTGGGGTACCACCTGATATTGAAGCTTTTCTGATAGTAACGTATTGTTATGGAAATTTTAAATATTTTATAGTCGTCAGCTACAAGGTGATAACTATAATTAATAAAGTTTCACAAAGTTCTAGGCTTTTTGGCAAGCTATATTTACCAAAAATAGCCTGGACACACTCTTGCTGAGCTTGAAAATTTATACCACAATACAAAAGGATATAGAAATATTTCATTTTCCGATAGTTATGTGATAATGTTGTCTTCATTACTAATAAAAACTGTTTCTATTGAAATTAACTTTATAGTCATATAATGGTGACACTAAAGAACCTAATTATTTGTTCAGTGTAAAATTGAGTAATAATTCCTTATAAATAATCGCACTCTGAAAGGTATCTCATAATCTTAGGATATAACTAATTACAGTATTCAGGATTATGTTGCACTGAAAATGAAGGATTGAATATATTAATCACTTTTCACTCACGATTTATTACAAACTACTTCTGATAAGGTGAATAGCAATCTCAAACGTTTACCAACATTACATACTGAACAAATTCAAATGTATTGCCAATGAACAAATAGTGGACAGTAAATACAGTAGAAAGAAAGAAAATTTCTTCTTCGGCACTTTAGTCGGTTTCTTAAAATCATCATCTATTCGAACAACACCATTAATAATATACCTATATCTCTTAGTAAAATGATTCTAGACTGCACGACAACAGTTGTGACTGGGTACTACTTCATAAATAACATTTTTTATTCCTATGAGACAATGTATATCAATTGTTGATTAGTGATATATAGCATATTTTGCATTTATTAAGTGGTGAGTTAAATTTTCAGGTGCATAACTGATGCTACAAAAATGTTTAGACCAATGAAATAACTTAATGTAGATGACGGTTATACACATCTAACAATGATTAGGATCTATTTGTTGATCATTGACGCTGCATTTAGATATTCCCAAACAGAAAAGATCAGCATTGTCATTGTTTTAGTAGGTGTCTTTGTGAGTGAAAACTATAAGGCCTATGGGAAGATGAAGTCACTTTGTATCACTTGAGAGTGCACATAAAAAAATTCTTCAGAATATCCCTTATATGTAGTGTTTATTCATTCAGACGTCCGCTAATCTAATCATTTGCTTGCGAAAGCATAATCAGTAATTATAAAGTTTTTACATCTCAACAGTATGGTCCTTATGATCTTAAGATGATATTCTTGTAGTTATTTCTTCATTTTTAAGTTGAATAATAATCTTACTGTCTTAGGTTAATAATTATTTGTGGAATCGATTTTGTACACTGATTGGTCTTTAAAACAGTAGTATGGTTTCATCAGTATTCTGCTTAGCTGTGCTGAGCACCTATCACTTTTTTCTCAAGAAAGATTTACCCGGTCTCACAGTTCTAAGTCATTCTCCATCTGCTACTTGATATACAATAGACTTGTCCAGCAAGTCTAAGATTATTTAATACTTCAGTCTAGACCAGAGTAAGATTTTAGAGTATCATTTCCTAATTGAATCTGAAATTAATGCTCATTCACTGAAACTTCATATATGCTTTTATGTGAATACCAAGCATCATCCAATATCCTATTAGACGGAAACAACATCTAATTTGCCTTTGTAAATACCAATGAAATCATCTATTCTGGTACTGATATACTCACTATTAGATATTGAATACTGGAAAGCATAAATGAGGTATAATTCCTGTCCCGATCTGCAAATCTTCTGTAATATTGCATTAAATCATTTGATCTTCTCAAATTATACTTAAGGAGTTGTACAATTTTCACACTGTGGCATTTTATTCCAGGTAATGCATCATAGTGGTCAAGATACTGACGCCAATATTATACAAGATCAATTATTAGAAGATATAAAGAAAGATGATTATAAGCAAAATACAATTATAGATATCAAACCTTTCAAACAATGGAGTTATTCTGAACAAATACCTAGCAGCCAAAACAAACTATCTATAAATTTAAATCAGATTATGAAACAATTATCAAGAAAAATGTGTAAGCAACTCCTTCTTCCAAATGAGTATACGTCTTTAAAATCTGCGCCACAATTAGAAAATTCGTTAAATATTGTCAAATCTATTTCAAATAAAGTCTTATACGCGAAGTTTAGGGAAAATGGTCAAGCAGCTGAGCAAAATCATAAAAGCATCAAAGAATTTTATGTAAATAGTAATTATACGGTGAGTTATGCGGTAATCAAGTTTTATGAAAAATGCTTTCAGAGTATTTATTGACAGTTTATGTTTTATCATTCAGTACAAAACGTCTAGTGAGAATACTAGTCACGTTTAGTGTAGAGCTTTAGGAGTCGATCGACAGATAGCCTTGAAGTTGGATTGCATGTTTGTTGGTACTCTTCTGTAAAGTGCATCTACGTTCATGAGGAAAATGATGATTATCAAGGAACAGCAAGTGGTTCAGTGCTTCATGAAGCTGCACAATTGCAAATATATACAGTTTTGTGTGAACCTCTCTAGTTTTTATCTGCAAGACAACTTCACTATCCGTGATAATAAACGTAATATGAATTATGTCTTATAGGTATTTTTTTTTTCTTGTCACTTAGTCATCAGTTTGACTCCTAAAGCGCGGAGTGATTCGAAATTTCTTTTACTTGATGCATAAATTAGAAGAAAGATTGACCGGATGTTGAAGAGATAAGACTACTTGAAACTCACGTGAAAAGACCAGTTAACAAGCTTTTACAGCATGATACCCTTAATTCATAACAGAAATCTAATCTCATCTTCTGTCACATATCCAATAAATATACATTTTAGGCAGTTTGGAAGAGGAACTTCTATTGTGAGATAAATTTTCAATGAAAATGGATATCTTTTAAGTTATCGCTTCACAAAAGTATATTCGTTTTCGTTCAGGATTAGGTGCAGCATAAAAATTTGAATTTTTAATCGTTAAAAAATGACTAAAGATCAAGGTATCTCCGGATAAGATCCTTCTCAATAATGCTGAAACTAGTGTTCACAAGTTGCATATTGATCTCTAAACCATCAGACGTTACCATTCATTTTGCTGTTGTATAGGTCTTACTATGGAACGCATAGCAAACAGAGTCTAGAAAAAAATATCCTTCATGGTTGTAAACAGAAGGAAGAGAATCTAACAGAGATGCAGTTACTGAACAGATTGGGAAAACCAGGCATTCAACTTCAAAGGTTTTTGAACAAAATATTTGTAGGGGAAAAAGAAATCTTCCAATAGCCTGCATCGTATTCTTTACATTACTGTTTCTTTCCATCCATCAGCTCGTCCATCATCTACTGCAGCCATGAAGCACACTAAAGATTCTCACAAAAATTGTATGTAATTGCGACTGTGCAGCTATGTGAATTCTCTTGTCAAAAAGGTTATTTTAACTGAACTACTTGTTCTTTTTCTTGCTTGATAGTCTTATTGGTATTTTATGCATATTGAAATTAATGGTCACTAGGCCAACTGAACTTTCGTCACTCAATGACGGAGTCATGGATGTTATTATTAGTCTACTGATTAAAATACTAATCATGCACAGCTAATTTATGAAAACTACTGAAGGTTAGAGTTCGTACAGCTTTGACAAAAATTGCATCCTTAGACCTAAGGTTTTACTTTAAAAAGGTAGCTCATGAAGATTTTGATAAACTTTTATTGTGAGGAGCTGGTGTAATATAAGCAAATAAACCAGTATACAGAGTCATTTCTTTTCCAACGTCAGGCATCTTCATTACGGAATCACTATTTGAAACACAAAGTAAGCATAAATACCATAAGTTCATTTTGAAGATGGTGTAATGTATTAACCAGTCAGTCAAGTTTAGCAATTGACGTGCAGTCTAGTGTTCAGAAGTGGTCAACATTTATTGATCTAGCTGTATTTATTCCAAAGTAGATACCTCAGAGATGATGCAATCAGAAAAAGAAAACTATTTGTGTATGCATGAAAAAAAATGATATACAGTTATCAGGGTAAAGAAAGGTTAATCACAGTCTTCTTATAAATACAAAAGTCGAGTGAAAAATATTTGATTGTGACAGTTTCCTCAAATCTTAATAAACGTGGCGTTCTTTGTTTGTTGATTATGCTGAAGGATTGAGAAACATCTATTTGATATCCTGTTTCAAACAGGTAGCGGTGATTGTACTGGCGAGGACCCTGGTACCTTTCAGACACAAATTTCTCGGAATATGCTTGTAAAATAGAGTGGACTCCTTCTTTAGATCCTTCCTATGTCATTGCTTCCGCAAGCATAAGTGAATTGATAAACACAGTTGAAGATGATGTGAGGCGGGTATTTATCTACTTTTGACTGTGTTATTGGACATACTATATTGTAAAGTGAGTTCAGTCTGACAGCAGGGAAGTTCCTTCTCAATGCAGCTTTTATTCTTCTGTCTGTTCTTTCAGATGTCCCACCAACTTTTGATGATAGAGGAAGGAAAACAGCCTTCTTCTCAACAGTTGGGTGTTTTGGTCTTGACAAATTGTTTTCCATACTTCCTGTCGAATATCTTCGGATATCCATTCTTTATAAGAGCCTCCTTAGGGATACTGAGTTCTTCTTCCTGTTTGTTTTTTGAACATGGTGTTCCTATTCTAGTGAAGAGCCTCCTGACTAAACCACGCTTAAAGTTAACAGGACAGAAACTATTTTAATGAAGGTAGTGAACAGTCCACATGTCTTTCCTGTGAAAATGTTTCATGTGGCGCATTCGAAACGTAAGGATCGTTTGACTGTTTTTGTCCTTCTTCAGCGCAGATTCGTTTCTTAAAAGTTAAAATATCACGATTTAGTTTGGAAATGAATTTATCAGTCACAGATTCAGCTTGCACTTTGAAATAACATCCGGAATGCATAAGTGAATAGTAGTAGTTGGCTCAAATGAAGTAACGTTGCTTTATCCACCTTAAATTGTTGCTTATCTTTGATGGAATGTTGATAGCAACACTAAGAATAAAAACTGATTGTGTTGTTCGTTTCAAAAAATGATCTAAGGAACTTAAAAAATATGTAGAATTGGACAGTGCTTTCTGTTTTATAAAGAGCATTTTGTCTTGACTTAATGCGTTTCACAGTGTGGATAATACGAATCTATCAAACCATGTCTATCTTAGATAATTCCACTGGTAATCGATATGACGTTTCCGCTTCTTTATTTAGCTTGATATGGATTGGGGTAGGAAGACTTGATTGAGCGACCAGTATGAATGGAGTGATAGGGCCGTTACGCATCACGAAATCAAATGGCAGTCTGGCAAAACTCTTGGTGAAGGAAATAAAATTAAGATCTGGTCAGTTGTTGGGTCTTATGGCTCTATCGGTAGAGCAAGAGGTACGTAACACGGAATTCGCTGTCTCGGATCCCACCACCGACTGGATTTTCATTTTACCCACTATCGATTGTAAAAGTATTCTGTACTCATCTGCAACTAAAGTATATGAGAAGATCTGATGATCAATATTGAAAATTTTCAAAATGATTGAAATGATTTACCTCTTCTATTTCCTTCCATATACCAAGAAACATTACCTGGGTATGTATAAAAAGCAACATGTAATCCAAGTGCTCTGAGATAACATCCTATTTCTTATTCAGACATCTTTTATTTATCCTTAACAAGACAGTTGAGTTGGGGCATTCTGAATCTTCTTGTGATTCAGTGACTCCAAACAAGTCAGTTTTCTAGATCATAAGTCACTTTTACTGTTTAACAGCATACGATAGTATTTAATTGCTCAAATTTTTATGCTTCAGCTTTTTATCCTATGGTTAGTGCCTGGGTTTTTAAGTCACTGAAAATTATTGGCATACATGTATCATTAACATGATTCATTCTTAAATGGTTATCATACATATAAGGCCAGTCACTAAAGAATACGTTGTAATCATTAAGATGAACCCAGTTACACTACAGAAATCTGGAGTTAGTGTGTGAATATTAGATGTTTATTGCAGAAACCCAAGAATACAAGTTCCGCACTCTATATGATCACGCAACGAGACGTAATTACAGAGTAGTGGTTGGTCCACTCTTCGGTCTCACAATAAATTAAACACAAGTGAATTAATTTGATGATATCCTTTGATTACATACAGCCCCTTGTAATAACTTCAGTCGTTCTCTAACCTTGTAGACAAACATTTCGATGAAACAAACAGTGAATAACTCACAATTAGATCAGGTATAGAGTTTTGAAATTTTGTTGAAGTTCGGATGCATTTCTTTAAAAAGTATTTTTCTGGTCATCAATTACAGTGGCTAACTTTTTAACCATCTTTATAGAATTTAGAATATTTTATAAAGCTTCCATGAAATCAAATATGTTCTGTCAAAAATAATCAAAACACAACACAACTTTCATGTTTTATATTTGTTCATCTGTACTAAAAGTGATAAACATTGGATTTGAAAATTCATGACCACCATTCATATTTTATGAATTTTATTAGTCTTTTGTGATTATTTTACATCAATCAAATACTGATTAATATTTAATATGAACCGATTTGCTTATTTCTGTTTTAATCTTGTGAAATAATTTATCCTGTATGAAAAGACAGAACTCAGTAAATTTACCTCTTTATGTAAGAATTAGGGATTGGTACGTGGATGTTCGAAAAAGTGCAATTTAGCTGTAGATCTTTGTTTGATCTAGTGTCGAAAGGTTTCCGAAAGTATTTCATGATACACTAATGAGAGGTTGCAATGTAAGTTTAAACAGTCCTGATATAAAGTGGTTCTGCAAGTGACGTCACTCGATCCTGAATACTCTTTTGATATTTATCGTAGTTGGATGCTAATTACAAAACTGTTGAATGTCAGTATTATATATATATATATATATATATATATATATATATATATATATATATATAAATCCAAGATGGTATATATTGCTTACCAATTTCGAACGTCTTCTAGCCAAAAAGGAATTATTTTTAAAGAGCACTGGGGATCCTTAGGTTAACTTAGAGAAAACAAGGATATCCTTATTCTGAGTACAAATAAGGGAGAATATGTAGCTCTTATAAACAAAACAGACTGTTACAAAGATGTAAGAAATTCTCTCTAACAACTCGGAATTTATATTGGATAGTAATGCTAAAGACCAAACGTCATGTGTTGAAATGCAGATGGTACAGCAACTATAGCAGCTCCTCAAGGCTAAATACTTAGATA